CAAAATTGAAAGGAAGGAACAGAGATTTCCTATATATTCCGTGCCCCTCGCACATGTATAGCATCCCCCATTGTCAACATCCTCTACCTGAATGGTATGTTTGTTACAACTGATAAATCTATACTGAGACATCATTATCACCCAGAGTCCATAGTTTACCTTAGGGTCCATTCTTGGTGTTGTACATTCTATGGGTTTGGACAAATGTACAATGACACGTATCCCCCATTATAATATCATATAGAATACTTTTGCTGCCCTAAAAATCCTCTGTGCTCCCTATTCATTCCTCCCTAACCCCTGGGAACCATGGAACTTTTCACTGTCTGCATAGTTTTTCCTTTTACAGCATGTCATCTAATTGGACTCATAAATGTAGTATGTAGCCTTTTTAGACCGGATCAGTATGTTTTTAAACTCTTCAGATGATTCCAATGTTCAGCCAAGTTTGAGAATAAGTAATTTAACTCATTTTTCTTTCTCTACACTTTTCAACCTACTCAGCTCAAACATTCCTTAATTTTTAGTGACAAAATATTCCCTGGAGTTACAGAAGTAGGGCCTATTCAGTAGAAAGAAAACAAATAAGGTCAGGTACATGAGTTCTCTTTCTAACAATCAATGAAGAAAGCTTGTGATTAGCAAAGTGCTTTCTACACAGATGTGAAACACCTCAAAGGGACTTTTAAAGTGTCTTCATTACTCCATAAGTCACAGGCATTCAAGGGGATGAAGGTGAGAATTCTGGTAGCTCTAACAAGCTAGTTTACTTTCCTCTGACATTTGTGTATGTTGTTTCAAAGGTGTATCAGGTAGGTTTTAGAGAAATTATGTCATAAAAAGATGGATACTGTAAAACATTCAGTTGATTCAAACATTGTATTGGGTCATACAAATGCTTTGATATATTGTGATATAAGTAAGCTTATTTTATTTTCTTCAAGGTACTTTGTGTTCAAATTTATATAACCTTCTCATTGTGTATATGATGTTAAATGACCAATTACATTATTCCCTTCCCATTTCTGTAGAGTTCTTTTAAATAATGTGACTTTGGATTAAAAAATAAACACAAAAAAATAAAGCAGGAACAAACCTAAACAACAAATGTGTAAAATCTATATGAGATTAATGTGACACTTTCTTGAAAGAAACAAATGTGGACTAGCACAAATGGGAAGACATCCAGTGTTCCTGGGAGGGATGATGGCACATCATAAAGATTAACTATAAATTAATTTACAAATTTAACACAATCACAATTTAAAAACCAAAAAATTATCTGGACCAAGTTGATAGTAAATTTCACATGGGAAATTAAACATGTAAAACAGTCAGGGAAACACAGAAAAAGAAAACCTATAATGAGTACTGGCCCTTGCACACAGTGATAGAACACAGAACAGAAACTCCAGAAATAAATCCAAGCAAAAAGGGAATTATTGTGTATGATAAAACATGGTATCTAAAATACTGAACTGAAGATAAACTTTTTAATAAATGGTTTGGGGATAGTTGGATAGCCATTTGAAAAGACATAAAATTAGATCCACATCTTACCACAGGGAAAATACACTCAACTATAAAATAGTTCTGAATTTTAACTTTTGGAACCATGTTGCTATTTCACATACTCCAAAGGGAAAAAAAGTATGGGTTAAAAAAATTGTAAAAGGGAAACCAAAGAGGAAAAAACCCTATTCTTTCAAGTGAACAATATAACCACACAAAAGTCGGGGTATGGGAGGCAAGGTGGAACATTTCAGGCAGAAAACAAAAATAACTTTAAACAAATTTTGATCTCCAGTTAGTAGTTTTGTGCCTTACTCAGCTGAGGTTGCCATAATAAAATAGCACTGACTGGGTAGCTTAAACAACAGAAATTTCTCATAATTGTAAAGGCTGGGAAATCTAAGATCAAGATGCCAGGTGATTTGTATCCTGATGAGGGCTCTCATGGTAGAGTGATCATTTCTCTCACGTGTCTTCTTATAATGGTACTAATCCCATTCGTGAAGGCTCCACCCTCATGACCTCATCACCTCCCAAAGGCTCCACCTCTTAATATCATCCCCCAGTGGGATCAGGGCTCCAACATATGAATTTGGGGGAAGGGAAACAGACATTGAGTACATAGCAGTTTGTTTTTCATAGCTGTATGGGTTAGGAATTGTGAAACTACTTTCTGTATATTCTAGGATTGAGCAGTAAGTAAATATATAGCAGGATACCCATATAGTGGATAGAAGGAGCAAGGTTTCTCTACATTGCAGAAGTGAGCTGTAAACATGGAAGGGAATATCCTAGAATGAACCCTAAGGTGTGTAAATGGAACTGAAGTTACTGGTTTGAACTCATGGTGTGTGTGTGTGTGTGTGTGTGTGTGTGTGTGTGTGTGTGCACGTGCACATACCTCATGTGTATGTATATACACACACTATCTACTAAGCAAGTCTAGAAGCAATGAAGTGAAAAGCAACCAAGGAAGTGAAAGACCTATACCCTGACAACTATAAGACACTCTTAAGAGAAACTAAAGAGGACACTAACAAATGGAAACTCATCCCATGCTCTTGGCTAGGAAGAATTAATATCGTCAAAATGGCCATCCTGCCCAAAGCAATATACAGATTCGATGCAATCCCTATCAAATTACCAAAAGCTTTCTTCAATGAACTGGAACAAATAGTT